CCCGTCCAAACCGGGTAGGCCGCCGGGAGGCGTCCGTTGAGGGGGGGGTACTGTCATGTTCCGTATTAGACAGCAGGTGGCAGGCGTTCACTCTGCCGCCTGCACACCTGCTGCCCATTTGTCTGTGATTACACCTGCTTTATCTAGGCGCTCCGGCTGTCGACTCATTGCCGGAGTATTGCTTGCCGTGCCACTGCTATTACCCATGCTCGTTAACCTTACTCGTACTCGATTATTGTTCGCTACACTTTCTTCATCCCATCGGGATTATTTAGAAACGCATATTTGAGCTAGTACATTATCTTATCCTTTTCCTTGCCGTTCTTTGCAAGCGCTTTGTTTTTTCTCGTTACATTATTTCCCTGGTTCTCGTTTTGACCAGCGTTTTCTGTTTTCCATTAGACGGTGTTTTCGTTTGTAATAAATATTATTTTTTGAGACGAAGGCCTTGTCAGTGTCTGCTGCTTCGGGGATCCACTTATTCTCGTTCGCTCTGTTTGCATACGAAGCAGTTCTTGTTTCCTGCCTTGTATGCAACGTGACAATCTTATATTCGGGCCAATACGGTATGTATTTTTTTTGACTTTTTAACATATTAGCACACAGCGCAACAGTATTTAACATGATGTCATTATTTCTTCTTCATGAGTTTTCTTACTCTTCTGTCAAAGACAATCATGTCTGTCATTAGGTAGGTGCCACCCAGTGTTCAGACAAAGTCACCACAGTTGAATTCAACGGTAACTCAAGAACAGGATGACAAACTTGTGTTGCCAAAATTCGAATTAAATGGTAGCTATTCCTAAATATTACTTGAAGCCCTATTGTATTCAATGTAAAGATTTGCATTTCACCCTATTCGTAAATTGAACAACCACATATTTTGATTGGGATTTTTTTCCTGCCACTGGTTATTTGTGTTTTCTTGAATTTATATATTGATTGATTTTGGTTCATTTTATTGTGTGTACAATACAAAATATATATTTTCTGAAAGAATGGAAAGAAAATAATGTTTTTAAATATTTTTAAAACATTACAATATATTTACAGTTCACATGGATTATAGACCAGGATGGCTTCTGCAAATGGCGAAAATCTGCATAATACTGACACCAATTATTTTAAGTGATATATCATGATTTTACCGGTTCGGCCCACTTGGTAATAGATCTTCCTTCATATAGTCCCTGAACTAAAATGAGTTTGATACCCCTGATCCAGTTTTGTTCAGGTCCGCTTTGTGCTAATTACCAAGGACAGTGCAGCACCAGGGCTGTAGCAACATCAAAAATCCATGTAGCACCAGTTAAGGCCCTCCACCATTTTAATTCATTCATCCATCCATCCATTCATTTTCTAATCTGCTTATCCTCACAAGGATCGCGGGTGTGCCAGAGCCTATCCCAGCTGTCTTCGGGCAGTAGGTGGGGTACACCCTAAACTGGTTGCCAGTCAATTACAGGGCACACAAAGACGAACAGCCATCCACACTCAAAATCACATCTAGGGGCAACTTAGAGTGTTCCATTAACCTGCTGTGCATGTTTTTGGAATGTGGGAAGAAGCCAGAGTTTCCGAGGAAAACCCACACAGGTACGGGGAGAACATGCAAACTCCACACAGGAAGGCCGGAGCCGGAATCCAACCTTGCACGCTGCAATGTGAGGCGGACGTGCCACCCCAGCATTTTAAATGATATTGTAAAAGATGTGAATAAATTATTTTCTCAGCTCCCCAATCTATCAGTCATGGCCCCCTTTCTCCCTGAGAAAGTAAAAATCCTGGATCTGTGCTGACTAACTGCTAAGTATTAAAGACATCTTGGAGCAGGATGTTTTGAAGGTTGAATCCACTGAGTCAGCATAATTGGAGCCAGACGTTTGACTGATCTGTTGTGTGCACATTTGTGTGTGTACATCCACTTGTTGTCAGGAAGAGGTGAGGAAGTGAATATAGGTCAGCGTTCAGAACATTCAGTAGACAACTCTGCCAACAAGAGTTTGATGGCTTTGAATGAGTGGAAGAATCTGGCATCAATTATAAGACTGTATACAATAATCCCCCCCTTCTATTGTGGGGGGTTTCATTCCACCCCCCCCCACCCCCCCACGATAGAGAAGTAACCTATTTAAATAGACACTAGGCATGATTTTATAGCATTTAAAGCACAATATAATACAAACACATTTAAGCACATACTGTATTGAGACAGCAAGACTAATGCATAGAACATATATGTTGTGCAACCAGTGTAACAATGTACAGATACCTGAAAGTGTTGACAGTAAACAAATACACAGTGGAATGACATCCATAAGAAACAGGCGGAAGTATAAAATAGTTATGAGTTGCACCAAAAAAAAAAAAAAGCGAAATAGGGTAACCGTGAGCCCATTACCCGGGATGGAGGGGGGTTTACTGTATATTTAACCCACATACGCATGTGAAGGCAATGTTTAAAATCATGCAACGGTAAAGTAAACAACAGAAGTCTAAAATGGGATTATTCATGCAATTTTAAATTGCTGCTCAATGTGCACTATTACTTTGAGAAAACTACTGTGATGAAACATCTTCACAGCTTCTGACTGAATACAGGGCACAAAGTAAGAACGGTATAAACTAGAGTTCACTGGTGGCTTTAATTTAATATTCTTTTTAAATCCACAAGCTTCCACTTATTTTCTGGACAGCTTGTTCGACTTGTTAGGGTTGCGGATGAGTTGTTGCCTACATGCCAGCTGACTCTGGGCGAGGGGAGGGGTACACCCTGATCTGGTCACCAGCCAATCCCAGAGCACACGTAGACAAATAACCATTAACACTCATATTCACAATCACACTTATGGGCAAACTAGAGTTTTCAATTAACGTTTTTTGGAACGTGAGAGGAATACCTGGAAAACCCCAACCAATCATGATGAGAGAACGTGCATTAAACTTCACACAGAGGCAGTCGTGTTTACAACCAGCCCCCAAAAGCGATGCTGTTGAACAGTAAGCTATTCTTGTCTTATGTGAAAAAATGGCAAGCCTTAATAATGAACATACAAGACAAGAATGTGTTTATAAAACATGAAAAAAATCATTTAAAAATGAGAACATCACCATGCATTATTAGATCATGCGAGCATGTGCATTGTTTTCCTCGATAGTTACAAAAATAATGCACACTTATGTCAGTTCCTTCTACTTCTTTGAACTTGATCGTCACAAATAGTGGGAGAAAACGCGCACCGTTTTACCTCTATAGGTGCTGCCGGGCTGGTAGGCTTCCGGGTCGCCTTCCACTCTGAGGCGGAACTCATGGTGCCCATCCCGTCGGGTCCCCTGGGTCTGTGCTCTTAGAATCCGCCCGCAGTACCCGTCCGCTCTACCTCCGGACGGTTCCTCCACGAACGCGATCGCGTTGCACACAAAACTCGACAGCACATAATACTGCAAAAGCAACCAAAACATTGCCATGTCGATGCCTGCAGCCCGAAGGGGACTACACAGTGACCGTTTTTGATCAAGTCAAAGAAAAAGTCGTGAAGCCCCTTTTTTGGACAGAAACTTCCACGCAGCGCCACAGCAGCGCGTCAGTCAGCAGTGAAGGTGAAGAGGATGGGATGGCTCCATGTGGACTGGAAGTGCGCTTTGGTGAGGAAGTGTGAGTGTGTGTGTGTGAGAGAGAAAGAGAGAAGAGCTGCTGCTGATCCCGGATCAGGGAAAGGTGTCTGGAAGGAGAGGGGGGCGCCAATAACTGACAATGAGGGAGCGCACACCCCCTGTCTCCTTGGCTCGGCGCGAGTCTCCTCCCTCCTAACACACACGCGATGCTATTGCAGCTGTTCTCAGACACTTCTTGTGAACTCCCGAGTATCCAAAATCCTGCCCGGGGGCCAATTGCTGTCTGCTGGACGATATTTTTGTCACATATTCATTCATTCATTTTCCGAACCGCTTTATCCTCACTAGGGTCGTGGGGAGTGCTGGAGCCCATCCCAGCCGTCTCCGGGCAGTAGGCAGGGGACACCCTGAACCGGTTGCCAGCCAATCACAGGGCGCACAGAGACGAACAACCATCCACGCCCACACTCACACCTAGGGACAATTTAGTGTGTTCAATCAGCCTGCCATGCATGTTTTTGAAATGTGGGAGGAAACCCACGCAGGCCAAGGGAGAACATGCAAACTCCACACAGGGAGGCTGGAGCTGAAATTGAACCCGGTACCTCTGCACTGTGAAGTCGACGTGCTAACCACTGGACTACCGGGCCGCCCCCGATCACATATTCCAATAATGAAATTAAACTCACTCTCATTAAAAAATCTATAAATTATAAGAGACCACAATATTATTTTTTTAAATAAACATTCAAATGTTCAAAGACAGCAGAATACTGTTTTAAAATTCAATATAAAAATGTAACAAGTCTAATATTACAAGACATCACTCTTTTGATTAAAAAAAAAAAAGGATGAAACAGTTTTGTCGCATCTTAATGAAAAATGTAAACGTTATAAGAGATTACAATACTACTAATTTTAATTTAAAAATAAATTGAAGAATTGCATTGCTTAAATTGAACCTTACAAATATCACACATCATATGGTATGCACTTATAGAGACACGTTTATATATACAGTGTGTATGTATATATAAATTGGGCGGTACGGTCGTCAACTGGTTAGCACGTCTGCCTCACAGTGCAGAGGTCATGGGTTCGAATCCAGCGCCGGCCGATCTTCCTCTGTGGAGTTTGCACATTCTCCCCGTGCCTGTGTGGGTTTTCTCTGGGTACTCCGATTTCTTCCCACATTCCAAAACTATGCATGGTAGGTTAAGTGTTCACGCTCTCTTCTCCCTATGTGTGATTGTCAGTGTGAATGGTTATTTGTCTACTTGTACCCTGCCTACTCCCTAAAGTCAGCTAGGATAGGTGCCACTGTTTCCGTGACTCTTGTGAGGATAATGGATGGATGAATGTATAAAATTAAATATACATGTGTGTGAAATCACTTCTAGGCTGTGACAATTCCAAATTGATTTGAGGTAATCATGCACTCATACCAACAGGTGGTGCAAGAGGATCTCCGTGCCTTAAGATTCTCAGGATCTATTTTGTACTGTGTGTGGTGCATCACAGTGCCAAGTTTTATAATGCAGTAAACTACAAAAGTCAAAGGGAATTATGGAAATGCAGGATTTCACCTCTTATCTTTGCTGTGGACCTTGAGGTGCGCTGCAGCTAGTTTATTTGAAGGATCCATTTTTCACTGTTTTGTTCCTTTTTGACATGAGGCAAATCTTCTATTCAGAGGAATAAAAAAAGCGTGCTAAACTCTAACTGAATTACTTTTAGGGTCCTCAGCAATACAGTATGTAAAAAAAAAAAGAAAAAGAAATAACCGTCACTAAGTGTTCTTATTTTTCTTGTACTTTGGACTTTTGTTCTGCACACTTATGTGTCTAAACACAGGTTTAAGTAATCGAGACGAGTTCTGGTCTACGGAACTGGAGATTATTCAAGTAAACAGTTTTCACATGCCTCTCTCTGTGTGATGAAGCCCATCTGGAAGAACCCTTGCGCAATAAACGGATTCATGACAAAGGTCTGCTGCTTACCCTCTTGACTGAGGTGCGGACTCAGTAATTCAGCGTCCTTTCAGTCAAAGCCGAAGTTAGATTCAGGAACAACCTTTGAAATGCAATGGAACCTTTAAATTGGATTGCCCGAAATGTTGTTTTATTTCAAAATTGATGGTGCTGGTACAAGACGTCATTCATCATGTAGATTTGCGGTTAACTTAATCAAACTTGTATGACAGTTAATAATGTAAAATGAACAAATTTGTTCTTTTCCTGAACAAATGGAGTGAGATTGATTGTAGGATAGCTGAACACAATTGGTTCAAAAGGTGGCATGGTGGAAGAGTATTTAACACATTTGCTTTTGTTTGTTTCAAGTGACGTTTGCCTTGGGCTCTTCACATTTCAAGAGATCAAACCTGCCCCTGTGCACAAGAATAGTTGTTTTCCTGTGACAAATATTAAGAAAGTTAATTTTATTTAAAATCAGTGAAAATGAACCCCATTTTGGCCAACGTCTCAATGCGAAGTCAGTGGGGGTCGAGACTTTACATGTGAATCCCGTTTTCCAATTTCCATAAATTTCCTAATCTTTATCCTATTTCTAAAAGACTGACATCATTGGAAAGCTTGCTAAACCCAGACAGAATATAACAGTGATGTGCTGATTCAATAATTCCAGTCATCCCCGGCATTAAAAAAAATAAATAAATGAATGATAATTGATATTACATTGACATTTTCAACAGAAAATAATCTGGAAGCCTCCTTTCAGTAAAACAGTTAATGTACAAATGTAACGTCGTATGAATAAAATACAGTAAATAAGGCAAAATGGCTGTTATTGTTGGACATTATTTGAAGAAAAGGTAGCATGCGTTAAAAAAAAAATGGTAATGAACAAACTACGAATCAGGAAATGTTGACTGAGTTATACCAGATACATAGTTCAGTCGTGTTAGAATTTAGGAGCAGATTTTATCGTTAGTGTTGAGTTGCCAACCTACATAACTTGACTTCCCTAACAATTTGTCAGAATTTCCATATTTTCTTCATTTTGTCAAGAAAGTACTGCATGACGGTTATCGCAGTGGATCACATACAGTAATAGGATAAAAAAAAAAAATTAAACATACTGTTCAAATGCACAATAAAATAATTACGCTCTAATCATAATTGTTATAAATTATGGCTTCAGTTTTTTTCATTGTGAAATGGTGCACGCAGTTGCAGCCTGAATCAAAGTTTAGGAGATTTCAGTGTGCCATCATCAAAAATATATGTTTCTATGGATGTTTCTATGGCTTACTGAATCTATTTTCAACTGTAGTAAACAAAGGAAGTCTATTAAATCATATGATTCAGATCTCAAAAGTCAAAATGTAACTTTCCTCAATAGTTTGGATAAGATAGTTTAAGCATGGGCAAAATTTTGGTTTCTAATTAGTGCAATGTAATTCTTGTACTCCAAATGTCTTCTTCTGCATCCATTTTTTCCATGTCTTGTATCCACAATTACTGATGAAACTATGCCAATTTCCACCTTTGGGTCTAATAAAGGTTATCCTATCTTGTGCTTGTCAAAATATTTATTATACTGTATTAAGATACTTTATCTTTATAGGCCCGTTGTGTCGGCTGACGTATGTTGTGACGCACTAATTTGTTTCCTACCCTATGTAGCAGGTTAGAGATCTTGGACGTGTGCTGTGTTGACGCCGGACGCAAAGCGAACTTGCAACTCTCAATCATGTTTAGCAACGTGAGCTAGCCAGCCGTAGCTTGCAAGGAGCTATGGCGAAAGATGTCCCAAAGAATGCGCATCCGAAGTTTTACTTTACTTCTCAACTTTTTCCTTATCATCTTTTTCCAACTTTATGCTTTATATTTCAAGTGGGATTAAAATATAGTAAACGATTTTCATTTAAAAATAATCCAGTGTTTTAGTATCCCGACACAGCACCGTACTGGCGATAATGCCGGACATTGGATTTCTTTTAAAAATCCGCAACAATCAGCATTACGGCCCAAACGATTTGGAATTCAGAAATTCTTAAACAAAATGTGGACAATCTGTAACATTTGGTGTGGTAAGAGGAAAAGCATCAACACTGTGTGACACGGTAAGCAGCAATTCCGCCATCACTCAAAATGCATGATCATGAGGGTGGCTTATTAGGTGACTATTTTATTAGAGCCATTCAACGCCAGATACGCACTCTCCAACTTTGAGTCTTGGAGCTATACTCACACCAAGTTTGTTTGTTTTTTGTCAACCTGACAGTTTAAGTAACAATTTCATGAGGGTAATAAAACACAGATCCTGGAAGCATGAGCCAAAGGGTTCTATTAAAGGAAATGAAAATTACGCTATATCCTCCAATGGACTACTGCATTCCTAATTCTCACAACATCTTGACTTGTTGATATTGTAAGTAATGAATTGCTTTTTCCCCCCAAAATGAAAACTGCTTCCTAAAATTGGATCCAGCGAACTCAATATGAATGGTTATGCTTGGCGATCACTGTTTTCTTTTCCTTTCCAAAATGAATGGCAGTTCATAAGTCAGGGATAAAAGGTGTAAGAGAGAGACAGTAGATAACCTACTATAAAAATGTTTTTAAACTGGATCGTGTGGTCAGTGGGTCACTATTTTTACTGTATTATTCAAACACTACATCTTAAAATGTGAAAACAAGCAATCATTATGGTTCAGTTGAATGCATTCTTAACTTGCTTTGCACTATCTTAACGACAACAACTGAGCATAGCCCTCAGCAATTTTCCTCTATAAACTGCACGCATGCCCAATCGCGAACTGCTCTCACACAATCCGCTCAATGTATGTGGCACATTAAAAAAAACAACCTGAGCTGTACTTTGCAAATTTATATTCTCCTCATAGAAAGAAGGTAAAAATGTTAATTGACACATGTGGCTGATGTAGGAGGAAAAACAATCTGTCCGGAGTTCCTCAAGGCTCTGGATGTTGTGGGGCTGTCCTGGTTGACGCGCTTCTTGTTGCACCTCTGACACGCAACATCGCATGGTCATCGGGGAGAGTGCCTCGGGATTGGCAGGCCAGGGTGGTGGTCCCTTTTTTTTAACTAAGGAGGACCAAAGGGTGTGTTCCGACTGCAGAGGGATCACACTCCACA